GACCTCAGTCTTGGGGTGACTTATTTTGTGATTGATTTGAAGGAAGCATAACATGTGTAACATTTAGCAATGGCTTTGGAATGACATCATGAGAAGTAGACCCTGCTCCTGACTAGCTAATCCATATCTTTCTGGAAAAGAGATAGATTATGATAAAGTGTTCATTAGATTTGCTTGATCAGAATAAACAGTATTCCACAAATACATTTTGTCTCTGGAGTTCATATTTTTCATTTTAGCTTATTTTAGGAAGAGAATCCCAATTTGAGAGTTCATTACTGGGACACAAAAGAATTGGGTTGAAAACAAAGTAGTGCCCTTGAATATGTGTCTATGTAGTATGAAGTGAATTGTTGGCATTCATGACAGGATAATTTTATCCTTAATGTGAATATCCTTAGGTCTTAAAACAGTAATGCTAGCTTTTCTAGCATGGTTGTTAACATGTTGTCCTTGGATTTCACATCACTACATTAGCCTGTTTGCAACAGCTAAAGAATCTTTTTCCAAAATAGAAAAACTCTTTGACTATCTTTGGCCTTTGAGTTACAATGAAGCTTTTATTTTTAATTAGAATAATTTCATCTATTAAACATTCTGCAGAAGTGATAGGAGTGTTGCTTTTTTTTTTTTTTTTTTTGCATACTGCCCAAAGTGCTACAAATAGATTGCATTCCACATAAAGAATCTTAGAGTTTAAAGGCTGGGATGTGAATTAATTAATGGTAGGACAGTAATATTTCCAGAAGATTTGTTTCATATTATTTATGTTTTTAAAAAGAAATATGTAGTTTTAAATGTTTGGCTAAAGTGGAACTGCTATATGGTTTCAGACTTTGGTTTTAAATTTGACTTTTGTGCTTTCTGCATCTCACTGGGAGTGTGCATTTGACCCTGCATTGTAGGGGCATGTAAGGTGAGTAGTGTTTGTTGCTTGGCTAGAATATTAGTGCCCTCAGGAAGAAAAGACTTGCTGAGTATTAGTCTGGTCATGAGGACGTTCTCTTTCTTGATGCTAAACCTGAAATATCTATTTCTGAATTTATAGTCTTGGGTAATCTTGAGTATCATTGTGATTCACTTCTTTAATTCTAGTCTTTACCTTACGTTGTCTTATCTTTTCCTTTTTGAGTATTATTTGGGAATTCTAAATAGAATACTAATTTTTTCTCAAATTCTTGCTTTAAAATCATGGATTATAAAATCTAAAACACTCCATTTTTTTTTTTTGTTTTAGAACCTGCAGTAGATTTTTGCCATTGCTGAAATTCAGGCCTCATTATATCTTTCCTAGACTATTGCAATAGCATATTAACTGTTCTTTATGCCTTTATTCTATCTGTTCAGATGCATTGTTTACACATCTTCCAGAGTTGATCATTTCAATATTCTTCATAAAATCCTTTGTTCATCCTCTGTTGTCCACAGGATAAAATTTAAACTCCTTAGCCTAGCATCATAGTCATTCATAATCTGTCCTTTATTTATCCTTCTAGTCTCAAGTCCCACCATTTTCTATTCCCAGACTCAGGATAGCTCGTAAATTTCATCACATGGACTTGTTCCTTCCATTGGTTTTGGGTTATCTGTTGAGAAGGAGTTTGAGTCTCATATAGACTTTAAACATGTTTTAGTTGATTAGTGATGCCTGTCATGTAGTAGCACGTGAATCAGAAATTGTTATTGTTAGCCTTGTCACATGGGCTTCCTCACACATGCCATGTTTTGTGATTTCTTGCTTTTGCTCATTCTGTCCTTGGCCTGCGATATTCGACTTTCCCTTGTGAAATTCTCATCCTTTAAGACATAGCTTATGTTTTCTGAAGATTTTGTCCTTTATGGCAGACTTAATTACATATCTGGGGTGGTACCAGTGTTTTTGTTCCTGTAGCTACTAGAACACACACACACATATATACACAGAATGAGAGAGATTGAGATTTATTTTATTGATTGATTTAAAAAATGTTTTTATTGGTTTTAGAGAGCAAGGAAAGGAGAGGGAGAGAGCGATAGGAACATCGATGAGAGAGAAATGAGCCCACTACCTGGGTATGTGCCCTGACGGGGAATCGAATCAGCCACCTCTTGGTGCATGGGTTGACTGCTCAACCACTGAGCCACACCCACTAGGCTGATTGATTTTTATTGATTTCAGAGAGGAAGGGAGAGGGAGAGAGATAGAAATATCAGTGATGAGAGAAAGATAATCGATTGACTGCTTCCTGCACACCCTCTAATGGGGATTGAGCTTGTAACCCTGGCATGTGCCCTGACTGGGAATCGAACTGTGACCTCCTGGTTCATAGGTCGATGCTCAACCACTGAGCTACACCTGCTGGTCTGATTGATTTTTAAGCGGGTCAGTTTCCCCAACTAGATTGTTAGTTCTGTGAGACCATGTACATACATATTTATCTTTGTTTCGTTAGTTCTCAGCATAATGTCTGGCACAAAATAGATGTTAAATGTGTGTTGATTTGAGTTGAATACGATTCTTTCTTTTGCCTAAAATAACTGCATTTTCTTTTGGCTTTTTAGAAAGAATATATGTTTAGAAAGTGACAGACTTAGAATTAGAGTTTGTTATTGTTTTAATATTATGATTCAATAAAGATGAAATTATAAAAGTAACATATTTTGACTAATGTCTGGAATTTTGACCAAAATTATGTCATTTGATCTGACAGGATTAATTCTTTATTAAATTGTTGAGAAGGTTGACTAATTCTAAATACCAACCAGTTGCAGAGATATTCAGTCAGAACTGACACTATAGAAAAATCCAAGCCTTTGAAACTAAACTGAGGGCAGTATAACCCTTAGAGAATAAAGGCTATTCTATGCAGAACAGTATCAATATAATTATCTATTTTACCTTCCTCATCTTCACATAGGATGAAAGTCATTTTTCTTTTTAGGGTATGTATTTAGTTTATCAAATCATTGCAAGCCCAGTGCCTTTCAAGTTACAAATATGGAGAATTGGTAGAGTTAAATACCTGTTATATATGGCTATTTTGGAATTAAAACAAGGAAAATCAAACTGCAGGGTAAGAGATGATGAATTGCTGTATACTGTAAGCTCTGGGTATTTGTTGCTCAAAGCTATATTCCATCCAGACTCTTGGCATGTTGCCAGCACATTTTAGTTCTGTTACTTCATATTCTTTGGAGAGGCTGTTATGTAGCCTGATACTACTACCACCAATTTCTAGTTTTACTCCTTAAGCTGTTTGTGAGCTGACCTCACCAGACTGCTTTGAGAACTATGATGAAAGTTACAACTGTGGAATGATCTGTCTGAATAGTTGGAAGTGTTTGTCTTTGCATCTTTCTAGCATACAAGGAGGGAATAAAATAAATACTAGATCTCAAATAAATGTTACATGAATGTTTCTTGTATTTTTTTTTTCATGAATAAGAACCAGTTTCTAAGGTATATGGTAGTTTTCTTCCTTTGTACTTTGCATAGAAGTAGAGTTTTTGTGTGTTTTTTTAAAAATAAGAATTACATTTGAAAGTACACATAAATGACATTTTACCATGCTAGTGTTTGAAAAGATCATTAGGATAAATGTCAAACTTATTTTTATTAACAATAGGTATGCCCCTGACCCTGATTTGATATCAGGTCTATTATCCTATTATTCCAATCTCCTTTTGCTTGAGTGTTATATAAATAACATTTCTTCTTTCCAAAGGGGACAAATTAAGCTTTTTATTTTTTTAATATGGGAGGAACTTGAGTAGATTAGCCTTTGAAAAGAATGATTAGTGTCTTTTTAAAACTTGAACCTAACTAAAAATAACTTTGTGCCATATTTAAACTAATTTAGAGGTATGCCACCATTCTGTGGGTATTTTTTTACGTTTAAGGAACTAAGAATGAACAATGGTATAAATCTACCAACTAGATAAGTGTCTAGCAATGCAGAAATTGCTGTTTGGGAGCGGTGTTGCTATTTCTACTTGTTGAAGTAATTTGATGGTTGATCTCTAATGGTTAAAAGATCCAGAAGTGTTAA